GTCCATGACGTCATCTTATCAAATAAACTCCACTTTTTCACCCTCTTTTCTTTGTGTTAGCAAAAGTTGAATATTTTTAGCTTTTCACTGGACATATTATTTTTCGTTATTATTATAATGTGTCAACGTTAAGTTTTCCGACGAAAGTAGCACTATCCGATATTTTTCTATTAATTTTGCGTCAAAAAAGCACTTTTTCCACTTTTCAAAAAATTCATATTTTTTAACTAAAAGCCAAGGCTATAGCCCATGTTTTTTTCGTAAATTTTGAGAAAAATTGATTTTCGTTATATTTGAATACAAAGATGCCCTTGATATAAGGGTTTCAAAATGGATATCCTTTCATCAAAATTCCCAATAGTTATTTCATAATCTGTTATCAAAATTTCGGCTAGATTCGATTTTATTGGTTTTTTATTGTATTCAGTAAACAAAGAATAGCTTTCAAAATGAGATTATTCAAACAAAATCCCAATATCTTAAGGTCCATGACGTCATCTTATCAAATAAACTCCACTTTTTCACCCTCTTTTCTTTGTGTTAGCAAAAGTTGAATATTTTTAGCTTTTCACTGGACATATTATTTTTCGTTATTATTATAATGTCTCAACTTCAAGTTTTCCGACGAAAGGAGCACTATCCGATATTTTTCTATTAATTTTGCGTCAAAAAACACTTTTTCCACTTTTAAGAAAAATTCCTATTTTTTAACGAAAAGCCAAGGCTATAGCCCATGTTTTTTTCGTAAATTTTGAGAAAAATTGTTTTTCCTTATATTTAAATACAAAAATACCCTTGTTGTAAGAGTTTTTTCCAATTTCTTTCTTAGAGTATTATCGTTGTTTTTATATATATTACATAATTTAGAGTTATTTAGCGAAAACGTTTCTAATTTTTACATTTTAGTTACTTTGATAATAACATTTTAGTTACTTTGATAATAAATAAAGAATAGATTAGAAATATGTCACTTATCTATGTATTTTTTATTTTTTATTCCCGTTGACTGTTCTTCTATGTTAGCCCTAATACGTTACATCAATGCTATATGTCCACAGTTTGTTTTTTGTTTTTTTTTCATTAAGTAAATTATACACGGCAGAACACAGAATAAGAACTGCGAAACAGATTTTCTAACTCTCTAATCACATGACTTGAACTATTAGAAAATCAACTTTAGCTTCCCTACTATGCTCATGTAGAAAAAAATAATTTTCTCTTCACATAGTTATCTATAATATCATGTAGGATGAATCATACTTTAATCCATCAATTGTATCCTAGGCTTTTTATTGGTCATAAATTTAATAGGACTCGGCCTCAGAAAAATATATTCGCAAATTGCAATTTAGAACAAGTCAAAAGTGGGCGTGGCAAGAGGTTCTTGCATTTTTATTGATTGCTCTTTAGTTCCACAACATTGAAGGATATAAAAATATAGATTGTGAAGATCAATGACGAAATTATACAGAATATTTTACGTAACAGTTAGTAGTTTAAAGGGGATGGACAAAAAAATAAATCCAGGAGAGGAAAAGACTAAAGACCAGAGACTCACAAAGATCGCCAAGGCGTTCAAGTTCTTATCATCTACTATAGCATTTATCAAGAAAGTTGTCCAAAATGCTAAGTCTTTCTGTATCTGCTAAATTACTAATTAGACATCGCCCTAACATAATAGAAGAAATGGAACATGGGTTAGCTCTATGGGTGGATGCCATAAAGCAGCGGAAGGATTCATTAGTTGAAGACCTGCAGAAAAGAAAAAGAACAGACTTAACAAGGACTTAGTATAAGTACTAAAGAAACTACAACCTTTATTGCAAGCAAAGGCTGGCACGACAGGTTTAAAAAAGGCACAATCTACACAGCCTAAAGATGACCAGCGAGGCAGCAGCCGCGTACCTACCAGTTGTAATAGGTATTATCGAACAAGGAGGATGTACGACCCGACAAGTTTTCAACGTTTACGAAACTGGTCTGAATTTGAAGAAGATGCCAGACAGGTCAAGGAAAGAAAAGTCAACACCAGGTCACAAAGCTTTCAAAGACAGAGTTTCCCTAATTCTGGGAGACAATGCACAGGGTGTTTCAAGTTGAAACCCCTTATGATTCACTATTCTGAGAATCCACGGACACTTAAGGGGTACGTCAAGATCAATCTGCCAGTCATTTGGAGGTCCATCAAGAAGGCTTGGACAACAAGAACAATTTTCGAGGATTGGTTTAACAAATTTTTCTGCCCTGCAGTGGAGAGATATCTTTGATGAAAATTATTTCCCATAAAACCCTGCTGCTTGTTGACAACGGATCAGACCACCCTATTAACCTAACTGACTTATCAACAAACATTTGTTTGGAGTTTCTTCTCCCAAACACCACTTCTTGGATCCAACCCATGGATCAAGGGGTCATAACTGTATTTAAAGGACATTACTTACGACGCATCTTCAAACAAATGATCAGGGGCAGTTGACAGCGACAGAAACACCTCGATCAGAGATGTCTGGAAATTGTTCAACATCAAGGATGCCATAGACAACATAGCAGAGTTTAGGAAGGAAGTTACCATCTCAAATATTAATAGAGTTTGGAGAAAACTGTGGCCAGAATGTGTGCACGATTTTCAAGCAGTCCCTAATACAGAACCTGTTAAAGAAATCGTGTCAGTAGAACATCAGGTTGGTTTTAATGGAATTGAATGGCAAGACATCAATGACTTACTGGTATCACACCATGAACAACTGACCAATGCAGAACTTATGAATATTGACCAAGAACGAACTGCTGTGTACTATCATTCAGATAATTATTTGAATGTATTTATATGTTTTTATTTAACAGGTATAAATGCACTTTTTATTAAATAGAGACAAGAAAAACGAGGACTCAATTCACAGTGTTTTTTCGTGGACCTCCCCCCCCCAACCCCCAATGGCTGAGTAAAGTAAGCAAAAGCTGAGAAAGTAGGTTGTGTGTTTACTTGTGCTCCGTCCATTACGGGGAATGGAGCATTGTAAGGTTATAAACTCAACCCTTATCCACTGGGGGAAAAGGGTTAAGAAGTGTACGAAAAGTGCTTTAAGGGGATTAAATGTTTCTGAAGTAGAGCGACCAAATAACTATTTTTTTATACATCTGGTGATTATTGTCTGATAAAATAGGGAAGTTAGGTTTTTTTTCTTGCATAAACCGCCAGTAACAGCTTTATGACCAATGAGCATTAAAGACTGGACAGAAAACAGCGATATATTGTTCAGATCATTATTTATTGAGGTTCGAGAATGTACTCTCAACTGTAGCATTAGATAATTATAAAACTGCAGATTTATAATTTTTTAAAATATGAAACAATTTCTAAATAAATTTCTATTTACACTAATTCGAACAGTATATAACGTGGATTTTAATTACTGTCTTCAAATTTATTAACTTCTTTCGGAATAACTTGTTCGTCAGATATATTTTTACACACAATTTAGTGAATTCAACAAGTGTTTTTAAGATACAAGGTTGCCTGTTTCTTCAAAAATTTTGATTTCGTGATTGTTTCAAGGGCAACTTCTACAAAAATATAAATATCATAAAATAGATCACAAAACAAAACCAGTAACAAAACATAGTTCAAAGTGTTCTGTGTTTTACATTTGTAAAACTAGTCGACAGAACGATTTAGAGAGTTGGTAAGTTTAGTGACGTTCATCCTATTGGTTCTTCCTCGATGGAAAAATCCCATGATAACTAGAGATTGTGCTCGTTGTTCTGATTTTCTGTTTTGTTTTTGACACACCAGATTCTGTTTTAATCTGTGTTTCTCTCTCACTCATACGCTTATACAGCCCCAAAGGGCGGAGCGTTACTATTTCTTTATCAACGGGACATGAGCCATGGACCCTCGAATCCACAGTGTGACACGTTAACCACAAGACCAAACCCAGATGAAAAGAAAGACTTACTTTTATACAGCTTTTGAAAAATTTAGGCATAAATGTGACAAAATTCTATTAAATCAAGGAACAGTATTAAAATTGCATTTTGTCATTATACCGGAGCTGAAAGATCGAGCAACAACAACTGACACAGAAGACTAATCTGAGCACGTGACTCAAGCTTCGGGCTATTGCAAAAGTACTATTTGTTTATTATTTCAATAGATATTGACGTGATATAACATCGTAGTGATCGCAATTTTGTGAGTTGGACTTATTGTATACTAGAATAGAGTGAAAAGGAATTGGTAATTACATTTTCTTATGATGTCACTTACTACAGCCATACATAATTTTCTTTATTTGAAATATCTCTGATATTAAATGTTATAATTTATAATATGTGCCAAAACCGATAACAGACAAATACACATAGTGTTTTACAATAACTTGCAAAATATCAAATGACGTGTTATCTTAATATGATAATTTCTTAGAAATATCCAAACTTACTGTAAAAATACATAAAAATAAAAATAAAGATAGTTAACTAATAACGAAATGCTCATCAATTAATGTTTAGATAGCACCATTGAAACTAGAATCATTTGTAAAAGGGCACACTTGTTTTTGTAAGATTAAAAATGACAATGTCTTTACCCATGCGTAAAGTTAAGTATGTGTTACATTTCTCCACAAAGACATCTTTTCAATTTGACAGAAAAAGTAGGAAATTTCCCAGCAGCTAGTATTATTCCACTAGATGTCGCAATAATAGAGCTAAAGCCTACTTATACGATGCTCGCAAGAGATACGGTCTCATTCTCTAAGTTCTGGTTTGGTGTTTAGTTTGTAAACAAAAGATCCGAAAATGAGTCAGAAGCCTGCGTACAAAGTAGGTAAGTTGGGGTATCCAGGCAACGGCAAATATTCCAGTCATTGCTGTTGTGTTGATACATAGATTAGAGGTATAATCAAGTTTAACTGAAGTGAGAGCAGTTGAGTTTATATTCCTCTAAAAAGGTATATGCTGATAAAATTACTTATGAATTTATAAGCAATCATATATATACAAAAAAATTTGAACTTATAAACTATAAAAAACAAAAGTGAAATATTTAAATATTGGAACTTCACAAACTGCAAGACTAACCGAACAGTTAGTACAGCAGTACTATATATTATATTACTAACATTACAGTAACAGTGATACTGATACAACAGATCTCGCTCTGAAATCTTAACTGCTTGTTAACTTAGACCGTAGTATAAAATATTTCTTGGCCTGTATTAGTAATAATTTAAGTTGAAAGATAAATATTTTAAACTGTAGCAGGAATTCAATTTTACAACTTATTTTAGTATGTACAAAAAAGTTATGTTAGTTGTATATTTTGCTTGACACACACAGAAAATCGGAGTAGACAAACGTTTTTTGTTGTTTTTTCATTTGTATGTGTATGTTTTGGTAACCCGATGAAACTGATAGGTTTCTAGGTTCTCAATCAATGGCGAATTGTTGGAAATTTTTTTACCACTACAGGGCAAGTACTTTTTAATCTTATGAATTTGTACACGTGTTATGTTTGTTTTATAATTGAACAGCTTAGTAAGTACCGTAAAGATCCTGTTAGAATACTGTACTTAATACTTCTATTTTGGTGCAAAAAACAGAGAAATACTGATGTTCAAAACTGCCAGTACTACACGATCATCACAGCATACTTGACTGTATGTGTGGTAAAATTAGTTAGTAGCGTGAAGTGTCTTATATTTGTTATTTTGGTTCCTAACATGGTTTTGACCTTTCATACAGCTGATATCACCCTGGCCGACTTCGGTCGCAAAGAAATGATTATGGCTGAGAATGAGATGCCTGGCTTAATGGCTCTTAGGAAGAAGTATGGCCCCCTGAAGATCCTGAAAGGAGCTCGAATTGCTGGCTGTCTCCATATGACTATACAGACTGCCGTTTTGATTGAAACTCTCTTGGAGTTGGGAGCTGAGGTCTGTAGAAGTTTCTTTCTTGAGAAAGGATCTGATAATACTAGGTGTAATCATTAGGCTTAACAATGAAACGTCCTAAGGTATATTTAAGAAATGGCGCTACTTATAAGTTGGACAAATATAAAATAATATTTACCACTATTTGCTTGTGTGTAACATTTGACATCTTCACCTTTGGCTTTAAATTCATGTCTTGCAGGTCCAATGGTCAAGTTGCAATATATTTTCAACTCAGGATCACGCAGCTGCTGCTATTGCTAAAAGAGGAGTTGCTGTATATGCATGGAAGGGTGAAACAGATGAGGAATATATCTGGTGTATAGAACAGGTAAGAAGTTTTAGTTAGTGTAGGAACACTCTGCATGTAATGAGTGGTATATTTAACCTCTGTTTAACTTCTGATTTCAGAAAATGTGTAATTTTTTCAGTATTTTCTCTTAAGTTTTTATTGATTTAAAGAACAATGTATTAAGTTTCCTAATCTCTACTTTGGTATACCAGTAATGATCATGTAAATAGCAGAAGAAAGGCACACAGTGTACAAGATTTTCCAAAGTCTGTGATCATGACTTTAAATGAATGAAAGAAATACAAATTGGCTTAGTTACCTCACCCTTTCTACTGTCAAAACATTTTACATTTTTTGTTTTCTGTATGAGAATGTTATGACTACTAGTCCTTCATAATAAGTTGCATAGTTTTGTAGTTTGTTACTTTTGTAAGCAGTTACACAATCATAATTCAAAGTATTAGCTGTCTATCTTAAAGATAATTTTTTAATAAATACACTTGCTGTTTTTTCAACTCAGACTCTTGTGTTTCCTGATGGACAACCACTGAACATGATTCTGGATGATGGTGGTGACCTGACTAACTTAGTCCACACAAAATACCCCCAGTATCTACCAGGTAGATAAAATCATGCAAGTTTTACATTATGCAGTAGTTAATTATCTTCAATATACAACTGGATATTTTAATACACTTACATTGTTGGCGTATTCAGGATTACATAAATTTAATTGAGGCCTTTTTTTTTACATTAGGGATTGTGGGTGTGTCAGAAGAAACAACAACTGGAGTGCATAATCTTTATAAGATGCTGAAGAATGAAACCTTGAAAATTCCAGCAATCAATGTCAACGATTCAGTGACCAAGGTAGGTTGGTGGACATGTATGAGTTAATAAATCCACTGCCCAAACCTAGTAAAGATAAATATTAAATGCCCATATGTGATTTTTACTGTCAAGTTTTGTTTATAGCTCCTGGTAAGCTTTAAGTCAAAATTTGGGGTTAATTTGAAAAGTAAAGACTGTTCATTTGAACTATGACTGTTATATACACATTGTAATGAAATATATTGTGTTGTAATGTAAAAACACTTAACTTTTTGTTTTAGTAATATATATATATATATATATATGGTTGTTTTTATACTATACTCAGACCTTGCTGTGCAGAATAGATAATGTGATACACTATTAGCACATTATGTTCTAAGGAAAGAATCAACATATGATCAGTTCACGTCTCGCACGGTTAAAGTTGTTTGTTCTAAGGAAGGGATCAACATGTGATCAGTTCACGTCTCGCACAGTTAAAGTTGTTTGTTCTAAGGAAGGGATCAACATGTGATCAGTTCACGTCTCGCACAGTTAAAGTTGTTTGTTCTAAGGCATGAACACGTTTAAAACCATGCTATTCTATTCTGCTTAAGAGATACATAATTCCTAAAGGGTGCTGAAATCTTACACTAGTATGAATAGGTGGATTGCTTTTTATTGTAAGTACGTACCAGGATTGAATTTGTTTTGATTGTAAGTTACATGGTTTCACACGTTTATTTTAGGTTCTCCATTGAGAAGTTTAATGATTTTAAATTAGTTTCCCAACTTTTGTGACAAAGACTGAACTTTTTTGTTGTTGTGTTCTTATTGATTGTAGAGTAAATTTGACAACCTTTATGGGTGCCGTGAGTCCCTTACTGATGGTATTAAACGGGCAACGGACATCATGCTGGCAGGGAAAGTGTGTGTGGTGGCAGGATATGGCGATGTTGGAAAAGGTTCTGCCCAGTCTCTGCGAGCCTTTGGAGCTCGTGTCATCATCACAGAAATCGATCCTATTAATGCTCTCCAGGCTGCCATGGAAGGTAAGGTGAAATTCCCGTAAACTCTTGTAACATTAAATGTTAGATTTATGTATATAGTATTTTTAGGAAGTATTCACGAAGTTGAAATGTATTTTAGTAACAGAGAACAATAGTAATAATTTTACGTTTTTTAGCTGGGGTATGTTTTATGTTAATCACTGACAGTTTATTAAACGTTTGCTATATATATGTGCCAAATGTTTGTTTTTTTTATTATTATTTGGAAAGTTTCTATTAAGAAGGACGAAGAAAGTGATAACTTTAATGTTTCAAAATTTCTCCATACATTAGGAAACATTTTGTGCAAGTTAACAAAGTAATTGGTAGATATTTGTTTCCATGATGAGCTAGACATACAAAATTAACACTTGAAATTACTGTCTAGACTCGGTTTATTTATGAATGGTTGTTATACTTACAGTACAGCTTGATTTCTGTCTACACACGGTTTATTTATGAATGGTTGTTATACTAACGGTACAGCTTGATTTCTGTCTACACACGGTTTATTTATGAATGGTTGTTATACTTACAGTACAGCTTGAAGTTAAACAAATAAAATGGTGTTATTATTGTTAAGCAAACTGGACTTTGTAACATTTAGTCCAACAATATATTTGATAAGTATATGGTAACTTTGAGTACAATTAAAGCATGGTAGGTGAAGATAATACAAGATGTTTATTAAAGAAATAATTTTATAGGTTATGAAGTTACTACAATGGAGGAGGCAGTGTCTCGAGCTTCGATATTCGTCACAACTACTGGCTGTCGTGACGTCTTAACTGGTGAACACTTCATGAAAATGGGAAATGATGCTATAGTCTGTAATATTGGTCATTTTGATATTGAAATTGATGTGAAGTGGCTAGATCAGAATGCAGTAGAAAAAATCAACATCAAGCCTCAGGTCAGAAAATTAATTTTTGAACATGTTTATCTGTTTGTTCTTTAGTGACCAATACTGCTAAAGCTAAAAAATTAGCTAATGGTGTTAATAATAATGTTTTTGTTAAAGCTGTTTCCAGTATTGTCTTTAATTATTCATTTTGTTTCAAACTTCTTTGATAATTTGATAATCAAATTTGTTTTAGAATAAAAAATATCTTTTATCCGTTATTTTGACTACTGTATCTCTGTACATGTTGGGTCAATTTGACTTACCTTGTAACCACCATAAATAAATTATACTTTTTTGTTCTAGAATGACTACGAAATATAACCCAATAACATAAATAGCTTAAATCTCATAACATTATACATTTATATTGACCTTTCAGCCATGCCTGGCTAACAATACAGGAGTTACAGTGATGCTGCTCTCATGTTACCGTATCAAATAACATAAAACTGACCTTTGGTCTGTACAAAGTAACTTGTCTTTTGTAAAATACAGTCACATTTCAATTATTATATATGTATATAGATTATTGCTATTTGAAATAACTTCTTAAACATATTTTTCATAGAACAGTAAATAAAGAAGTAAATCAGTCAATTATTTCTTCTAGTTATGAACTTTGTACTCGTTTTCTGCTTCATGTAGGTAGCTAAGCCTTATCAAGTTTGCAAGTGGAGGATGTGACATGAAATTATTATATTTTTTTTTAATTTGACATTACAAATAACCAAAAGTCATAAAGTATTATATAAATACCATAGAATTCCACTGTAATTTATCAAGCTTAGTAACTAAGCTGTATTTGTGTCTAAAAAAACCATGTGAAATTTTGAGCTTACCTTACTGCTTGGAAAAGAAAGAGGTTGAGAAAGCCACTAGGGGGACATTCATATGTTATAAACAGACGTAATCATTTGCAAAATTGGAAATAGGTGGGTGGAGCCACTGTTTGATTCTCTAAATGTAGCAATATCCCAGGAAATAGAAAAGATACGAGGTTCTTATTTTATTTTATAGCTTATGAATATTGGTAATTTGAGTCCCTAATTTGTAAAAAGCTATAGGCTTTGTATTTAGACTTCACAGATATCTAATTTGAACCAATGCTGCATTCAACATACCACGTGACACACAAAAAGTGATACTTAGATATTCTTTCTTGGTATTTATTTATAAGTTAAGAAATTAACTAATGTATAATACTAACATTTTGAATGGAAGTCAACAAACAAGATGACGTATCCATACAGTTAATGGAGTAACTTCAACAAAACTAATACTTTAGAATGAAAAGGTTTGATTTACAATAGGTTGTGATATAATCTTGTTATTGGGGTACCATTTGTGAGATAAATTGTTAATATAATATTTGATTAGCTGTCTTTCCTCTAGTTCATCACTTTAAAATTAGGGAAGATTTTATGAAGATAAGTAGTTTTGCATGGCAGACAACATGTTTGTAATAACTAAAAGTATAAGTTTTTCTTTTACAGGTTGACAGGTACAAGCTGGCCAATGGCAATCACATCATCCTTCTTGCAGAGGGAAGGTTAGTGAACTTAGGTTGTGCAACCGGTCACCCAAGCTTTGTTATGAGTAATTCCTTCACAAATCAAGTTCTAGCACAGATTGAACTGTGGACTAAGAAAGGACAGTACAAAGTTGGAGTTTACTTCCTCCCCAAAAAGGTTAGTTTCTACCTTATGTTTTGGGGTGATTATTGGATAACATTTGTTTGATTCAAGTTATTACATACATTTTCTTTAGTTTAATAGGAATAGTAAGTTCATTGATTTGAGTGCCTACATACAGTATGTTAAAGTGTCAGTTAACAGAACTGCGTACTATCATTTGAAACCACTATTCTATTAAGTATACTTATTATCATATTCGGTCACGTAAAATCAACAACGTTTCTCAAATAAAAGGCAGAAGTAAGACAAAAGAACTTTAAATAGTTTATATCCATTACTAAAAAAGCTCCCACAAGGCTGGTTAAAAAGGTTTTTTTTTATGCTGCATGCACATTTTTGGTCCCTCCATTAACTAAATTATTTTCATAAAATATTCTGAATGATATAATTACTTTAAAAAAAAAATTTCAATAATGGAACCTGAATATAAATCAGCTTTATTGAATTGAGAAATAAATGACTTTGAACATTGATGTACAGGTAGTCCTTTTATGGGAAGAAGGATTTTTGGCAGGTTATCTAGGACTAAACGTAGGATTGATGATGAGTTAGAAACTGTTTGTATTGTCTAAATTCATAAAAGTTGACAACAATTATTTTATATTCCAGCTTGATGAAGAGGTAGCTGCCTTGCATCTTGATAAGCTTGGAGTGAAACTGACCAAGCTCTCTCCTGGCCAGTCGGAGTACTTGAGCCTTCCAAGTGAAGGTCCTTATAAACCTGATCATTATCGTTATTAGAAGCAATTGTGGGACATATTTAGTGTGCATTACACACAAAATAATAAACTTATATAAACCTCAAAGTTGTTCACCTTATGATTACTGAACTCTGTTTTATTCACAGGTGGGTTAAGAACTTTGTATATTCCAGACCAAAGAGTTTTTTCTAATAAAATATTTCAGTCTGTATTTGCCTTTGAGAAATGAATACAAACAGATGAGTGTTTGTGTGTCTAATAAAGAGGATTCTTCCCAGAGCTTCAATGTAAGAAACATTTAAGTTTGCATCATAACAGACATGTTCGTTGTGTGTAGAGGGGACATCATCAACTTCAAGAATCTAGCAGGGTTGACATACAATGTCACACACACAAGTTCTAAACCACAACTACATTGTTTCTGTCCATGGGTGTCATCAACCCCCACTTACCAAAAGAGTTCTAACAATCTGCTTTGGGGGGGGGGGTACAGTGTATCCATGATTTTTATATTTTACCAAATAAAAATGATTGTGTGTATGTTGTAATTGAACAAGTGATCAACTGACAATTTTTCTACAGTTAACATTAGAAAAGACACAAACACATTTATTCTTTGCTCTAAAATATAACTATAAACTTACTTATTTTTAATGCTCTGCAGTAACCTGCAACTATAAATAGTGTCAGGATGGTTATAATATCAATAAATAACTTGGTGTATTAGATACCTGCTTTAACAACACAATTCACAACCTGACAAAGTTAATGACCAGTACTAGTTGAGCAAGACACTTGTAACGGACAAAAAGAGTTTTAGAAGTCTCACAGTTCTGTAGTCAGCAGCCAACATCTTAACTTCTCATGTTCTCAAGAGCAGCCACACACTGCACTGTCACAGTTAGCTTTCCAATTATGGTTTGTTCATCAGTGGCATCATGTACTAAAGGAGAACAGATAATACTCGTACATTATGTTATACCATTGCATTCTAAAAGTTTTAATTCTTCTCCGCTAATGTTAACACACCGTAACCCTTGTGAGGATTAATAAGTTGAATCCTTTATTATCTGTTTTGTCATGAACAAACTATAATTCTGTATTACTTCAGTATCTACACATAAGAAACTAAACAATTTTGTGTGTTTCACTACTTGTTTCAATATGAAACTATTCATAAAAATATAAACACTGACTCACTGTTTAACTCCTTTCCAATAACATCTTGCTTCTTCTGGACAATCTAAATGACAAAAACATTAAAATATGAATTATCTTAGCAGCTTTCTTACTAGTAGAACAACAGAAAGAAAAGTCCAACATTGTTACTTTACTCAAAATGATCAGCATTTTCATTGTTTAAATTTAAACTGCTGAAAGATTTCAATCTACATAAATACATCTAAATATCTTAAGTATAAAAAACACGTGTAAAGCATGTAGTTTTTACCAGTTTCAGTTCTGTATAAACACATCTCAATGCCTTCAATATGAAATACACATGTAAAGTGTTAAGCTGTTACCTCTCTGAGATCTACATATGCATATCCGACATCTTCACAATCCAGATCCTGCTTGTCCTCTGGTGGTTCACTCACAACAGTAAAAGTTAATCTGGAAACCAACAGCAGTAGAATTACTCAGTTTTAGACCTTCCTATCTGTACAAAGTAACTTGTTGATGTTGATGAACCTAACAGTCTGTAGTACATTTACCAGATACTTAACTATATATATATAAATAACCACATACCTCGCTGATGTTGGAGAATCTAACATAGCTGCTAACATTTCTCGCTCCCTCATGTGATTAACAGAATCAACCTGAAAAACTGGGGAAGAACTACATCATGGCAGAAACTACTTAATACTTGCTATAAGTTCAAATGTGGATGTATAACAGACTTAACTAAAGTTCCCCATTTATGGTCGACCATAGTGGGCCAAGGAAAATGGTAGGACTCTTAGTTCTAAACACATTACTGTATAAAGTGGGATCACTGTTCCTAATTCTACAAACACTACTGTATAAGATGGGATCATTGTTCCTAGTTCTACACAAACTACTGTATAGGGTGGGATCATTTTTCTTAGTTCTACACACACTACTGTATTAAGTCATTGTAAACTTAACATATTACAAATAAAATGAAAAACCACTGTTGTCTTACCTTTCCGGAAGTTAAAAGTGATGTAATGAGGTGGATGAGGTTTGGGCAGTGAGAAAGGAGTTTCTAGTTCTGCTGCAGGAAAATCCAGAAACTTGTATTCAACAAAAAGCATCTCAACATTATTGTCAGCTAAAATAGCAGCTCCCTCTAGCAGTGAAAGACGAGAAACTTCAACCAATACTGTGTCATGTGGCTTCAGAGAAAACAGTTAGAAAGAAAGAGAAAATACATTAAAGATTAAAAAATAATCAACCTTCTGTTTTGTTGTTTAAAATAAGTGAATTTGAGAATGGACACAAATCTTATGAACACTAATAAGGAACTACTTTATTAGGCACTACTCTTGTTTGTTTTAAACTGTTTACTTTCTAAAGCAGGTCACAATCAACACCAGAACATACTGGTTCAAACTGAAAATAAACTCAGTAACGAGTAAAGCTAATTAAACATACTTATTTGTAGAGATTAGAAAGCATTGTTTCATCTGGTGTTACCTTCACTGTTAGTGACATTCAAGGCTGTAAACCTTACAAAGTTCAGCTAGCTTAGAATATTTAAGTTAGTCCTAAATCCAATATAATAAAAACACAATTGTGATTATAAAATGAAATTATTGGTAACTTGTGTTCTTTTACATCTCTATGGTTTCATGGATTACAATATTTTAAAACTAACTCTTCTTTGCAACTCTCTGTAATGATTTTCTTTAAAGTTAATTTCAATGTCTTCCTAAAGTGTCATTACATCATCATACCCAAATGTACCATTTTCTATTGAAGTAACAGTAAATAAAATTTTCAAACACTCATACAATCACTTATTATTCAGATGTTTCACTAAAAAATACTAATCTACCATTCTTTTGGTCACTGTTACAGTAACGAACTATTTTTAACATTTTTTTTGAAAACATAAAAAGTACGTACACATTATGCAGATTGGTGGATAAAATATATTTTTATACATCATTTTCACAAGAAAATAAGACCACTCTAAAAGCACACAATTTTATAGATTCACTTGACGGACTTTTATTTTTCAACATTACATGAAAACTTTTGTCTCACCCTCGTCAGCAGGTGTTGAGGCGAAGAAGTCACCACAACTTCCTCTGCAGATTCTTCACTTTCATCATCTCCATCCACAGAATCATCTTCTTCTTCAGGGTTACTACAACATTCTTTCATTATTGTTTCTGGAAGTGTTGAAACCACCGTGTCGCAGGTCTGACCTTCCAGATTATTGTTTGTCACTAAAAATGAAAGTTAACTCTAAGAACTTTAACAATTCTGGAAGTTTCAGCTATGTACATGTAGTTCATAAACCAAGGACATATCAGTTATTGTGTAATCATAATTCTTGTAAAGCCAAACTGATGTACTATCTCAAGTCAAACAACCAAGGACATATCAGTTATTGTGTAATCATAATTCTTATAAAGCCAAACTGATGTACTATCTCAAGTCAAACAAATTCGTGACAACTTTTTAATTCAACGAGTTTTGAAATTCTCAATAAATGATCATATATAGGTTTAATATTTCAATTCTCAACTAACTAACTAAACGACAGCAAGAAGGTCTAACCAGATTGTGTTGTGGGACCATTTCCTGCCGATTCTTCTGAACTAATGGTGGATAATGCTCCAGTGTGTTTCAGAGATCTTCGAGGAGTAGGTTCAGGTTTAAATTTTTGAACTGGAATTTGCTGTTCTGAAAAATTGGAGTTTACAGGTTCAAGCAAGTGACTTTCATACATGACCTCTGAGGTCCCAGGTGTGGGTGAAGCTTGGTTTTGTAGAGTTTTTGAAGGTCCAGGTTCTGCTGAAGAAATCCTAGGCTTTGCAGAAACAGATGCATCATCATCATCACCATCTTCAGAGGACGAAGATGGGTGATACCCGGCAGACATTGCTGCTACAAAAGACTTGCTTCTCTCATTCTTCTGAAATTACGATACTCAGTTCTTTCATACAGAAAGAAATTATTTTTTGTAACCTTCAACAAGTATTCTAATCATTCATTACTAGTCTGTTAGGCAATTTGGTCAGTAAAGACACGTGAACTTTACTGACCAGCCTTTCAATGATTTGGTCAGTAAAGACACGTGAACTTTACTGAAAAGCCTTTCAGTGACTTGGTCAGTAAATACACATAACCAATACTGACTAGCATTACAGGCAACTTAGTTAGTAAAGACACTAACCACTACTGTCTAGCATTACAAGCAATTTGGTCAGTAAAGACACACAACCAATACTGACTAGCATTACAGTCAGTTTGGTCAGTATGTGACACAACTTAGAGAAAAACATGTCCACAAGGGATTTCTATATTAAACAATTATGTTAGTCTTCAAAACTGAACCAATTAACAAAGAAAAACAGATCTAATTAAAATCTGAAAATACAAATCAAAGTAATTTAAAATAACCTCTGGAAGACCATTTTAAAATACTGTTACTGGTAAATTAAATCCCACATTACGTTACAGCACTTATTTTTGCATTAAAATGTGAATATAATACAACTACTGAAGAATTACATCTCTTGATGAGCTGGTACCGACACCTCTTGGAGGTTTAACTGGTGTTGAGGAAGCAACTGGACTCTGAAAATGAGTTGCCCTACTACATGGTTGAAGTCCTGGAGTGGAAAGTCGATTCTGGCTGGAGGATATAAAACCTTCTTCTCTGTCAACATCCTGTTTTACAACTTCACTCTGGCTGGATAGTTTCTCAACTCTATCAAGATTCTGTTGTTTCTTTGGATCTCCTGTGGAACAGTCTTCGATAGCTGACTCTTCCTCTTCCAACTGCAAAAAGAAATTATAATAAGCTTCTGCACTACTTGAGATGATGTAATCCACAATTACAACTCTACGATAAAACAATAATGAAGATCTAAGGCCTTACCTCATCTGCGGGTTTGGGTATCCCAGTTGTTGGAGGTGGAGACAGGTAAGTATACTGCCAATACAGAGAAACCTCAATTGTTCCTGTGGTTTCTTTACTTTCCTGTAGACACAAGAAAGACAACCAACTTAACACTTTACCATAATATATAAACATTTTACATGGTTATTAACTAGCATGTTCTCTGTGGAATATTTCTATGTTTTTTTACATTTAGAAAGCCTTTCAAAAATAGTTGTACACTTTCAGACTAGCTAACATTTGTAAAGATTATCTTTTTTTTACATTTTATTACAAATTCCACTGAAATACATAACTACTTCAAAACTTACGTTCCGAAGTTCAAACATTCCTTTGATGGCTTTATCACGGGCTAATGCCAACAAGGGAATTGAAACTTTCCCAAGATAACTTGCCAGATCTGGGTCTGTGTCATCAAATACAAATATATCTAAGTTCTGAAAGGATAAACACAAATAAATAAACTTACAAACTATTTTACACAAAATTATTAAACAAAACTTTCAAAATTAAATACATTCCCATACTCTTCATTTGACTTTACCAGAAGTATAACAAAGTTTTTTTATAAAACTGATTGTTATCAAATGAAAACGAAACAATATGCATGATCTTCTGGAAACGGTGAGGTCGTAGGTAATAGAAAAACTTCCAATATCCTAAAATATTTTGTAACACTATAAAATTAACTTTTCTCATGTAAGTATCTACTTCCCTGTCCATGTGTTGTTTTCATCTTTAAAAGATACATTATGGCTAACCACTGTTTTTAGGTAAGTGTCTACTTCCCTGTCCATGCATTGCTTTCATCTTTCAAAGATATAGTACATCCAATCTTTGTTTTTAGGTAAGTGTCTACTTCCCTGTCCATGCGTTGCTTTCATCTTTCAAAGATATAGTACATCCAATCTTTGTTTTTAGGTAAGTGTCTACTTCCCTGTCCATGTGTTGTTTTCATCTTTAAAAGATACATTATGGCTAACCACTGTTTTTAGGTAAGTGTCTACTTCCCTGTTCATGTGATGTTTTCATCTTTAAAAGATACAGTATTGCTAACCACTGTTTTTAGGTAAGTGTCTACTTCCCTGTCCATGCATTGCTTTCATCTTTCAAAGATATTGTACATCCAATCTTTGTTTTTAGGTAAGTGTCTACTTCCCTGTCCATGCGTTGCTTTCATCTTTCAAAGATATAGTACATCCAATCTTTGTTCTTAGGTAAGTGTCTACTTCTCCATCCATGTGTTGTTTTCATCTTCAAAAGATACAGTATGGCTAACCTTTGTTCTTAGGTAAGTGTCTACTTCCCTGTTCATGTGATGTTTTCATTTTTAAAAGATACAGTATTGCTAACCTATGTTCTTAGGTATGTATCTACTTCTCCTTCCATGTGTTGTTTTCATCTTTAAAAAATACACTATGATTAACTTTTGTTCTTAGGTAAGTGTCTAAGTTTTGTATATGTGCTGTTTTCATCTTTAAAAGATACAATATGACTAACCTTTGTTCTTAGATAAGTGTCTACTTCCCTGTCCATGTGTAGTGGAAAGGTTCTATGGTCATTAAACAATGGGCTATTAGAAGCAGGAATAATCAAAGTGTCTTGATCCGGTAAATCATAAAACTTGTATACACAGTAAGCTGATGGCTGGATATCTAGGAAAGAGTGAAAATTATTTAGGTTCTTATGTTGAAGAATATTTTTAAATTAAACTCTAAGAATCAACTCATACATATCTTTAATGTGATTCTTATTACACAAAATAAAATACTAAACATTAACATTTTCTTACACTGAAAATGTATTTCCAATAGGTACTTACCGCAACTCACCCAAAGCTATCTTATCCTGGTTTGCCCTCTAAGCATTGTTAAAAAATGTTTCACTAACAGAGCACCAGTCTTTTATAACCCTTCATTTTCATGCCATTTCAGAACATGTGCTGATCATGTGACTACCTTTCACCAATCATACTGCACCATCTATAATAGCTCAGTTAGCTCCCTCTACTATTCTAGCACAATCCTCATTTTTGAAAATTGCCAGGTACAAACTAGAAACACCAGCATGTCAGTGGGGAGGAAGGGTGGGAAGTGGGTAAGCATAGGTGAATACCTATCAGAAATATATTTTCAGTGTAAGACAATGTTAACTTCTGAAACGGTACTATCTCCATTCACCCAAAGCTAGAATCCCACATTTCGAAAGTGGAGGGGCTAGTGAATACATGGCAATATTCAATCAAGTGGAGAGAAACCACCTTAAAAGAACAGATGTGCCATAATAAGAAAAGAAGACAGACCTAAGGGGTATAGCATTACTTCTGGAACAAGTATTCTCTTCAACCAGTAATGAACACAGTAATACATATAGGGCAGAATGGAATAGGCAGGCAGGCACCATAGCCTCAAGAAAGAGATATACTGTACCATTCTGTGAAAAAATGCTGCATAACTAGGATGTGAAACAGCATAGCATGGACAAAAACAGAATGTCTCATGTGTAATTGACAATAGGCCCAAATAAATATGTGCCAAGGGTAGAGTCTTGGGGCACACCAGAACATGTCAGTTGTTGTCCAACTGGGCAAAATATCCGGTGGAAACTCCTTGTCTAGAATATTGTGAGCATTTAGAGCAATCCTCCCCGTCAAAAACAAAATCCAAAGAAAGCACCTTAAATAAGTAGTTTGATGATAAATACAGAGTCAGCCAGATGTCAACAGATATGTAGCAAGTGTTAGCATGGGACATAGTGATAGTTAGTCATAATAAGGTGTCTGATAATATGATATAAATATACATGGCTAGGGATAAAGGACTGTAAATTGTATATGAATAGACCAAGTGCGGTACACCTGGCCAAAAACATCCAGGGGAAGCATCTTTGGATACATCATATTATGCCAAGTGTGGTCCATCTGGGAAAAAGTATCCAGTGGAAGCATCTTGCATAAATCTGTAAGATCAACAAGTGTGGTCCGCCCAGACAAAAAACATCCAGGGGATGCAATTTGGATATATAATATTATGGCCAAGTGTGGTCCATCCAGACACAAACATACAAGGGAAACACCTAGGGATACATCGGATTATGCCAAGTGCATTTTATTTGGGCAGAAAACATCCAGTGGAAGCACCTCGTACAAGATTCAGAGATCAACAAGTGCAGTCTGCTTGGGCAAAACCCAGAGGGAAGTGCCTTGGATACATAGGATTAGGCCAAGTGCAGTCCATCCAGGCAGAAAACACCCAGTTGAAGTGCCTTGCATAAGAAATTTATTTTGTGATAAACAAGTGCAGTCAACCCAGGAAAAAACATCCAGGGGAAGCCCTTTGGATCCAGAATATTATGTTATTGCATAATCAATAAGTATAACAACAATAGCCCTCTTCTCATTGAGTGAGTATATATATAACAACAATAGCCCTCTTCTCATTGAGTGAGTATATATATAACAACAATAGCCCTCTTCTCATTGAGTGAGTATATATATAACAACAATAGCCCTCTTCTCATTGAGTGAGTATATATATGAGTTATGAAATTTGATTTAGTATACCGTATAAATCCCACTCAGAAGGAAACCTCCATGGTCCACCACTCCAGTAACTGGGAAATAGAAGAGGCAAGAACTCCCATGCTCCACTAGAAGAAAAGGGAGATTGAAGAGTCCAGAGGAACGATTCACTGGAGACGGTGCAATAAGTGTCCACAATTCCTTATTTTGGAAAGCTGAAAGACCCCGATTGTAAGAATCATGGGTCAGTAGGGATGGACAAAACCCCAATCTGTTTTGCTAATAAAGTCCATGAGTGATGGTCCTTTATATATAAAACAGTGATAAATATAAATATATATATATATATATATATATATACACACACACACACACACACCAGCATACCTGACCAGGCAACACCAGGTGGGATCCTGAAATATAATGTACATCAATGAAATAAAATAAAAAATAACATGTCCACTTACCCCAGTCAAAGGCAAACAGACGTGTGTATAAACACCACAGGAAGATGATGATACCTGCCCGAGGAAGACACAGCTAGGTTGTGCAGATAATCTGTGACAAATGTATTGGGAATTGTCCACATACTAGCCTATCACTATTTCAGTTCATACTAACATAATTACAGTGATTTGCCAAAGTAGGGATAAAAAATTTTAATTTTCAGTAACTCAATTTCTGTAGTTTTGACTTTCTTCTTTCAATATTTTTTGTAGCATTAAAACTTTCTATATTACTATATGTTTCCTTTTTATTAGCTATTTTTTGTGTGCCAGCAATAACAAATAATAACTACTGTACTTATAAACACATAATATCTAATTAGTATTACAGTTTTCAAACAACTTCTGTTAACTTATACCTCCTCTTCTGGCCTTCAGTCCCGTACACTTTATGAGTTTGATATGAAGTTCATTTATTCTTTCTTCAGGATTAGGCCTTTTGTCTAGTGTTTTCAAAGCTGCTTGTGATGTAGAAATATTTCCATCGACATATCCTAAGGCCTTGGATCTCTCCTACAAAGAAAACATGATATAATCTTATCTCAACACTAATAAATACTTCCTATAAAATGTTCAATCTTATATAAACATCTTGATAAATATCTCCTGTATAATGTTCAATCTTATATAAACATCTTGATAAATATATCCTGTATAATGTTCAATCTTATATACACATATTGATAAATATCTCCTGTATAATGTTCAATCTTATCTGAACACTGATAAATATCTCCTGTATAATGTATGGAGAACCACTGTACAAATGTGGTTCAGTGTTAGAGAAAGCTGTATGAAGAACCACTGTACAAATGTGGTTCAGTGTTAGAGAAAGCTGTATGGAGAACCACTGTACAAATGTGGTTCAGTGTTAGAGAAAGCTGTATGGAGAACCACTGTACAAATGTGGTTCAGTGTTAGAGAAAGCTGTATGGAGAACCACTGTACAAATGTGGTTCAGTGTTAGAGAAAGCTGTATGAAGAACCACTGTACAAATGTGATTCAGTGTTAGAGAAAGCTGTATGAAGAACCACTGTACAAATGTGGTTCAGTGTTAGAGAAAGCTGTATGGAGAGCTACTGTACAAATGTGGTTCAGTGTTAGAGAAAGCTGTATGGAGAACCACTGTACAAATGTGGTTCAGTGTTAGAGAAAGCTGTATGGAGAGCTACTGTACAAATGTGGTTCAGTGTTAGAGAAAGCTGTATGGAGAACCACTGTACAAATGTGGTTTAGTGTTAGAGAAAGCTGTATGAAGAACCACTGTATATTTTACAACAGCTTGATTTCAATTCTTTGCTGGTTTATGGTGCTGAATATTTGTACTCATTTGAAGTTGATAATGATTTAATTTTGTAGTTTTGTATTTGCATAAATACAAACACATATACATGCACAAGTATTTCAGAAGTATGAATAAGTTACACGTATACAGGCTGATGTGTTACAATCAGAAGTATGAATAAGTTACAAGTATACAGGCTGATGTGTTACAATCAGAAGTATGAATAAGTTACAGGTATACAGGCTGATGTGTTACAATCAGAAGTATGAATAAGTTACAGGTATACAGGCTGATGTGTTACAATCAGAAGTATGAATAAGTTACAGGTATACAGGCTGATGTGTTACAATCAGAAGTATGAATAAGTTACAGGTATACAGGCTGATGTGTTACAATCAGAAGTATGAATAAGTTACAAGTATACAGGCTGATGTGTTACAATCAGAAGTATGAATAAGTTACAAGTATACAGGCTGATGTGTTACAAGTTTGCTGTAATTTATTTTAGTTAATAATTTAACAATTAAACAAGTATTTCAGAAGTATGAATAAGTTACAAGTATACAGGCTGATGTGTTACCAAGTTTGCTGTAATTTATTTTAATTAATAATTTAACAGTTAAAATTTGGCACAACATGTTCTTATCCCTCTTACATGTATAACTAAACCAACATTTCACAGATTCTCTTCTCACAAATCAAACTTGAAATGTGATATTCACTTTCTAACCTTATACAGTCGAAGGGCTTGTTCCATTGGCAGTTTTAGTCTAATCCAGTATTTCACTGTTCCATAAAGGACACCAGGACTTCCATCTTTAACACCTGTAACCACACATGAAAATAATGTCATGTAGTTGAAGATGTAAGAATTTTGTTTTAGAAGAAAAAAAAGAAAATTATACATCAGTGAAGTAATCATCACAGGAAAAAATCAAACAATAACGAGCAACTAAGTTCCAGTTTCTTAGCTTCAGCACGGGCTCGGTCCCTATAACCTTTAAATTAGTAAGCATATGTTAACGAAATTTGGCAGATTATCAGTAAAAATTACAATGCTTTCATATGTAAAGTATAAAATTTTTTTAATTAAGTCTTAAGGTTTATAAAGCAATGTTTTTCTCATGCCTTTTTTTTCATTTCGCATGTTGCCTATCCAACATGCAAAGTAATTTTCATTTTAAGATTAAAAATACTTTTATGCATCAGAAAATTTTCAAATTTCACGTGTGAAATTTTTATAATGTCCAGATAATTATCAAATGTTTCTTAAGAAAAAACAATATTTTATCTGTTATTTTCACTAATGAATCTCTGTACGGGTTTGGTAGAATTGACCGATCTTGTAACCACCATAAAACATTAGGAAATAAATATAAATTATGCCTCTTTCATTCTAG